AGTGTGGACCCCCTAAAGGGGGTCGCACACTTAAAGCGCTGCTTGGTGACCCGCCGCGTTGTGCCATGCAGCGCCACGCAGCACCATGCATTTCAGAATTCTAAATATATATGACAACTTTATAATATAATACAGGTAAATACACACCACGCCACAAATATACTGTAGAGTAAGAAGTATTTTAAAATAACCTATACACTGTACTGCAAAAAAAAAATGCTTTTCTTACTCTTAGTTTTTGTCCTTTAACTATTCTAAATATCTAAAAATTCTTAAATCGAGAAGCATTTTCTATACAAGCAAAACTATTGTCTTGTTTTCAGGAATACTGAGTCAAAATTTAATGAGTTTTTCCTTAAAATGAGCACAATGGTGTAAGCAGATGAATCTTTGAAATAAGACTATTTTGGTTACCCAATTGGCAGTTTTAAGGAAAAACTCATTTAATTTTGAAGATATTATTTCTGAAAACAAGACAATGTTTTGCTTGTCTAAGCTTGTCGCTTCTCGTTTTAAGAATTGTAAAATATCTGTGCAAGAAACTATGTACAAATAATACAAATTTAATTTTTATGTATTTAAATAAAAGTCTGTCATTTCAGTGATTTCTTAAAATGCCAAGATATGCAGCTTACTACGTTTTGTAAAAGATCTTATATGTGTATATGTGTATGCATGTGTGCTAAAACAGTTCTCTTTCTCCCTGAAAAGGCAAAAAATAAGGAACCTGAGGCTAGTATTTCAAATCAGAGCCACAAGGGCCAATTTCAACCTCCTATCGCATCAAACTGCAGTGAATCGCCACAAGCGTTTGACCTCTTCTTTAGCTTTGAGACCAAAGACAAGAGATGAGAAATGATTTTTGTATTTTGGATGCTTAGAATTAAACAAAAAAGCCACATATTTAGAGCACGGTTATGTCACTTTCTCTAAGCATTACCACTATAACAAAAGACAAAGCTTTGATATTGTTTTAGGTGAAGACGCAAGTAGAGCATATGACGTAAAAAGGTTTCTGAGATTAAAAACAGGCTTTGAATTTTCACATTGCTCATCACAGAGCGTCTTTAATTAGGTAGAAATGTCACGTTCAGTATAGCCGGAGGTTATGCCACATTTCAAAACATGAATATCAATGATTCCCGGTAAGAGCCGAGGGGTTTGCAGAATCACCTCAAAAGTTAGATTGAGCCCCGTAGCACTTGAGGGGATGTGATTGCATAACGCCAAACAGCCCAATCAGCCCTCCACCACCCAAGACTGTTACCTAATGTGATGCCATGCTAACAGGCTCAGACGAATATGCAAAGAGATCTGCACATGCCCCTTTACAAGCCGTCTGCTGCTGATCTCAAAGTCTCAAATGCAAAATCTTTGTTAATGGTAAAATCTGACTTCATAAAACAGCGTGACATGCTTGGCCTTGAACTAAAAAAGCCTAATGCTTTTACCAGCACATGAAGTTGACCCGAAATGTGAGTTGAAATCATTCGTAAAAAAGCTGGACGTAGGGAAGGAAAAAAAGTAATAATCTTGGCATTTTAACATCCATTTAGCACCAACATGATGTGCGGTGAAAGACTACAGCGAGCCATCTGTCCTGATTAGCTGAACAGCTCTCGTTTGATAAAGGTCAAGTATAAAATGTTCTGCCCAGCGCCTCTTGGATTTTAACAGCAATGGGACAGGCGACTCCAAATATTCATATGCTGTAGGTTGCTGCATTTACTTTCTTCTTTCGATTGCGTACTCCAAAAACAAAAGTAGCGCAGAAACTATTTTAATAAGTTGCTAATAGTTAATAATATAACAATACGTTGCAAATTTCACAATCGATTCCAAAGAAATTTGCCTCATTGATTTAAAGAGGTCTTACAAGGCTAGTTTAACGGTTTTAGGGCTTATTCCACACCAAACGCAAAGCTTCTGAATGTTTAAAAAAAAAAAAAACGCAAAGCACAAGAGTATCCGGGTACAGCCACTGAGAGAGCCTATAAACAAAAACTTACAAAGCTTGACCCGCCTCCTAGCTCTTCTGATTGGTCCACTGCTGTGGAACTGACAGTGATGAGTGCCGCTGCATGTTGTAGATCTTTTAACTTGACACAGCGTCTAAAAAACATGGCACCCACGTGTGCTGTGCTCTAAAAGATGTGAGACATGAGTGTAAAGATCACACCTCTGCATCCCTGCCAACATTTGTCCCTGAAAATCTGGGAGACTCGGGGGGTTAGGTTCGGAGGTGAGGTGGAGAGAACTGGGTACTGTGTACTGTCGTGTTAGTAATTGTACTATGAAGCGTGTTTCAGGCAGCTGCTGTGATCGGATCCTATACCAATGTTGCCGACCCGGGGTTTTCACAGACTGTACCAAATGCTGAGGACGAGGGGGTGGGGTTGGATGGGGGGAAATGGTTGAAATTACAGGAGTTTTTCGGGAGAAATGACAAAACTGTAGGGTGGCGGGAGATGGGTATGAAATACAGGAGACTCCCAGGAAAAACAGGAGTGTTGGCAGGTATGCACGTCTGTCAAGCGCGTGTTTACATAGGAAACAATAAAAAAGTAGTGCATTGGAAAGGAAAAATGCATTTTGTGTGAACGGCCCCTTAAGGCTAATTTATACTTTCACCTGACCTCCGCTGAGTGTGCTCACACCTCAGGAAATGGACGAGGCCTTTATACTTGAAGCATCCGTCAAAAGAAATCAATCGCAAAATCAGAGGGTTGAACAGAGTAGTAGGAAGTTTCTGGAACTACATTATATCATCAATATTACTGAAGATTGTTTTAACTAATTACTCTTATAAATTATTTAAAAAAAAACAAATTATAACCATTCAAGATTTTTTTTAAATCAGACTTTGATGCATCACTTGCTTTTGTTCAAATATCGGAACGTTCTACTAGTTCTATTAAAGTTTAAAATATTAATGACAACAGAACATGGGTTGCTCTACAAATATATATTTTATTATGACAAGAATAAAAGCAAAAAAGTACACTGACTAAAAAAATACAGACTTTTTATTTATTTATTTATTTATTTTTTAGATTTAGCTCTCTCCACAATTCACACATTACTGTCTGACTAGTTTGTGTCCTCTGCCCATATGCTAGAAAGTAGGGGTGTGATGAGCTGCTTATTCAACGAGACATGAGCTTGGGTTCACGAGAACGAGATAAGAACAAGAGTTTTACAGTATTTTTAGCTGAAAAATCACAAACTGCAAAACTATTTAGGTGCTTTTTGAAATCAACTTATAATGAATGTTACTTTACTTCTATTTTAATTAATTTTATGCAGTAAAGGACATGCAAACACAGCAAAATATTTGCTAATATATGAATGGAAAATAGATTTTTATTCAATTGAAGAAACATCACAAAATGTAAAACAATTAAGGTGCTTTTTTTTTTTTTAAATCAACTTGTAATGATTGTTATTTTACATTTATTTTAATGATTTATGCCATAAAGGACATGCAAACACTGCTTAATATTTAGCTCTAAACTCCGACTGGCTTCTTTGCTGTAACCCTTTAACTACACCACAAAGAAGAACTCCTAATGTTCCTAGTTAACACAGTCAATGCATTTTCATTAACACATACAATAATTTCTAAAATATCAACATCTACCAAATGGTTGATATGTCGGTTTATGGTAAAAGTACCGGACTTAATACATATACTATGAAAAATCTAAAAATATGAAGTGTAAGACCAATTTATTAATATATATTTTCAAAATAAAACATTTTTGAATTCTACATCAGCTTTATTTTATAAGGTGTGTCATAAAATATTTCAGGTTCTCAATTAACATGCTATCTTTTTACAATAAAACCAAAAAACAGCAACAAGATTATGTTTGGTTATTTTTTGTTTTGTTTTTTTTTTGTAAACCAACAATGCTGTGTGTGTAAACCATTATTAAAAACATTCTTACTTCATTATTTAACAGTCATTATTAAAAACAGACAAATTATAATTGGTCAATTATTTGGTAGAGCAGGCTAAATACTTGTTTCTTGAAAAAGAAAAAAAAATCAATTAAAATATTATGTATCGTCATCATGACAAAGGTCAAATAAATCTGTTATTAGAAATTAGTTATTAGAACTATATTAAAAAAAAATCATCTTTCCGCTGGGGAAATTGGGGAAAAAAATATACATGGGGTTAATAATTCAGGAGGGCTAATAATTCTGACTTCATCTGTATTTTGTTAATATTTTCAATGTAAAGTATTTGGTTTGGTCTTGTTTGCCACTTTATAGCAAAATCTTTCAACACAAAAAACAATTTCCCTTGTGATTTCTCGCTCCAAACACATTCCAATGATTTTTTTATTCAATTAATTTGTCTCTTCCTTCATTTTTCAGGAAGCGATTTAGTTTTAAAATGCCGTTGTCCTCTGAATTATTGAATTTTGTGCGTACAGAAGATAAGCACTAAAATTAGAGCTGACAACCACATTTAGCTGCAGCATGTTCACTTGATTATTTGTGAAGAATGTAAGAGGATACAATTTGCGTTACCCTGCATATTTACAAAATCAAATTTCTACAGCTGAATATGAAAACTGGGCTACTTCAAGACATTTCAAGATATTTCCCAGCTATAAATACACTTGTCTGATAAGCCATTTTATTATTACCAGGTGCTCAGTTGCTTCTGTATTTTGCAGGAGGTGAATTTCTGTAGTGATTAACTATTTTCTTGTCATAACCAACAAAGCCACCCTTGGATCCATGAGAGTTGCCATAGAAATGAGTAATTTCCGAGTCCCGTGATGCTGAGAGTTGTCACCTCGTAATTACGGTAATTCTGAGACGATGTGAACGCAGCATGTATTTACTGTCATTACTAAGTTTCTTAATGTAGAACAGTTAAACATTTAGATGTTATTTCCACTAAATCGTTTTTCTCACGCACTGATCAAAAAGAGCATTCTGACCTCATCCAGAAAGAGTGTTGAAAAGTTTTGGATACTTACAACCATACCGTTTAGCGACACCCAGCAATCGGGAGGGAAGTCTTGCAGGAGCGGCACCAGGAACTGCAGGCATCCGTCCCAGTGACAGAGCAGCAGCATCATGCCAATCAGATTAAAGATTCTTACCACCGCACTCGCCAGGTCATACGTCATATGAAAGATCTGAGGAACACAAAGACAAAAAAAAAATAATAACGTTAATGGTTTTGTTTAAGAATCTATGGTTTTTGTACATTTAATCAGGACTATTCTTTTATCTGTTGAAATTCTTGATTCTGATTGGCTTGAAAGTGTGGGGCAGGTAGTTCCAGTTAGTTTAATCATAGTTCGAGATAAATGCGTTAAGTTCAAACAGTAACTATATTATCTCAGGGACAATTGCCAGAGTCTTCACTGCTCAGTGTAATCTCAAAGATTACATAAACGTGTGCTTCACCAGGGCTGATGTTGATCAACTGACTTGCAAATATGCTTCAAAAAATTCCAGAGGTAGCTAGCGCATGTTACTATTAGCTATTAGATATGCCCATGTCATTTACATCCATATACACATGATCTCCTGCATGCAAAGCCTCGGTGAATGATTCAAACTGGATGATGTAATGTGTTGCAACTGACAAATATTTTGTAAGAACATTACATATTGTGGATATCACAAGTATTTGTTCTTTGCCTTCTCGAGGTGTATTTAAAATTATATATCCATTGATTACTCCTTCTTTACTGTAATTTACTAAAACTAAAACCAGAAAACTAAAAACTTTGTTACTTGAAATGAATGTTGACTGAAAAAAAATAAACATTAAACAAAAATATTTACTTATTTATTTATTTTTTTTCTTTATGACAGTTATTAAACGACACTTCAAAATACAAAAAATAAATAAATGTATTGATAAATTAATAAGTTATTAAATTAATTTAATAAACTAACAAACAATGCATAATAAATAACCAATAGTAAAATATAATTGAAAAAATGATAAAATGAAAAAAAAAATATATAATATATAACTTAAAGTAACAGATTTTACCAACATTTAATTATTATTTTATGCTACACTTGTTCATTGATTTATTTTGCGCACATTATTTAAGGTTGGAGAACGTAATTGCAATATTTGAATTATCATATACTGTATATATTAGGGTTGCACGGTATTGGAAAAAACTGACATTGCAATGTTTTTTTTTTCTGTGTTTTTTTTTTTTTTTTTTTTTTTTTTACATTTTATTTATTTTATATACGTAAGTACATAATTTTACATTGATTGAAATAATTTAGTAGGATCTGCATAAAATATACAAAATTATCAAAAAATATACAAAATAAAAGAATTGAATAAAGGAGCAGATGAAAATAATAGATTAAATAATTGCACTGGAAAGGAAAGGAGATGTTGACCCAAAGGAAATGTTGTCCCAAAAATGTGATAGACCCAGCTATGTATGTTATGGTTATTTAGGCTGACAACATACAAAAGACAAGGGAATTGTGTAATTCAAAGATCACCTCCAACTTCACTAAACAATAAGCACATGGCACGGCACAACAAGCAAATCCCAGCCAGGTCCTTTACGGTTTTGTAACATTTCCCTTGTGTTCTGTGCTATTTGCATGTGTTATGAGAAAATGCATGTGTATTCTTAATTAGTTTGCAAAATGTGCTTATATTTCTATATATTCTATGATTTGCTGTTGTGTTTTGTAATTGCAGCACATAAAGCTCTCTTGTAGTAGTTTTTGATCAATAATAATCCCAATTTGACTATTGCAGATTAGCACATTGGGATTTCGATGCTGAAACGATATATTGTGCAGCCCTAATATAGCCCTGTATATATTAGGGCTGCACAAAATGTATATACAATTTTGAAAAATACATAAATCAAGCTTAAACAAAAATAAACATATATAGAGTGCATTGTACATTCTCTATTGCAGCGGTTCCCAACAGGGGGATCCCGGCCCACAAGGGGGCCTCAGCAAGCTCTGTGTGGGGTCGCGTCATATTTTTAAAAGTTTTTAGCAGTGGACAATAAGGATAACAATCATGTGCCTTAGTTCATTTTTTTTTTCATTTTATCTTTATCCCCTGGCTGACCAAAAAATTGACTAATTTGTAATGCATCCTCCACAAAAAAGACAGCTTGGTAATGATCTAAGCACTGGAAACTGCAGGGAATAATGCAGGAAATACCTATAAACTGAACTATGGTTTTATCAATATCTCGAAGCAAATAGTCCCTGACTTAGCCACTAATTTTACAATACTGCCCCAGTATTGGTGTACCCAATACAAATGGCCTACTGATGTTATGCTTTTATATTTTACATTAGGCTAATATTTATGCATAAACATATCTAGATATAGCAATGAACATACTGTTTGTTTGAAAACATATATATATATATATATATATATATATATATATATATATATATATATATATATATATACATACATATATATATATATATATACACACACCTACAAACTTATATGCGCGATAATATCATTAAATGTGGAGGCCTTACAATATTTTCTGGGGGGAAAAGGGGGTCTCCGGCAAAAAAAAGATTGGGAATCACTGCTCTTTTGCACACAGACACACACAAAAATGATAATAACTTAAAGGCAAGACTGAAAATCTACTAGATCGGCCTCCAAAGTAGTTTGTGTCCAGCTCTAACCTCCCTTAATATCCCATGTGATGTTATATCTGAACTGCTATGTAGACAGATCTGAGAATGCCGTGGCTTTTCACCCCTGTGTAGATTTATATAGCTAATAATGCTGAGAGAATAGAGCGAAAAACATCACAAGAGCACAGCGTCTCAGAGAGTGTCAAGTCACTGCCCTGGAGGATTCAAAACAATTACAACAGTCAACAGGAGAGAAGAGAAGATGTGTTTCCTGCTCATCTCTGCAGACTAAAAGGTCTCAAACTTAATAGCTCTGCACCAATACAACTGCAATGAAAAAGGGCTGTTCTACAATCCGCAGTGCTCCTCTACTGGCTCTGCTGTATGGCACAGTCTGTGGAAAGATTTAGTGCGGTTCAGATTTAGTGGAAATTCACCTGTTTCTGTCTAGATTTAATACTTCAGTATTACTTGTCTTTTTTGTAATTATTTGTGCTCCTAGGTTTAGAAATATGGGTATATTTTTGGGAATAACTGCACTAATTTATTTTTATTTTTATTTTGTAATTTGTTGTGTTTTGGACTTAAGGACCGCTGATGTACCTGGTATAAGCATGTTTTAGTTTTTTTTTTACTTTTTTAATTAATTTGCATACTTTAATGTTGCGTAATTTGTTTTCTATTGTATCGAAAATAGTATCGAAAACTGATATTTATTAGTTAAAATAATTGATTTTTAAATTATGCTAAAATTACAATAATAAGTAAAGGTAACCTTCCATTATGATATTTTGTAAATTTTCTTCAGTAAATATATCAAAACTTGCATTTTGATTAGTAAAATGGATTGCTAAGAACATAATTTGGCCAACTTTGAAGGCATTTTATTTTTACATAATACATAGCTCATGCATTATTTGTTCAGCTTTCAAATAATGTACACGTCTCAATTTTATAATAACCCTATAACTGGTTTTGTGATCTACATGCAGATGGTGTTATTTGTCTATTATAATGTTGATGTGGTTTACACACATGACGTGTGACATGTGGTTGCCTACAGTATTTCCTCATGATTCTAAATCCTTACAAATCATACTAAATGGGGTCTTTTGACTAGTGTTGTCAACAATATCAAACAATATCAATAAATGTCGATACCAAACTATTTAAAATGATGCAATCTTGCTTTTGGTTAGTATTGGCACTGGGCTTGCTCTCGCTCTCTTCTCACTAGCAGGGAGATGAATAATTATTAATAGTAAGATATTGTTACTTTATTACTTTTTGTAATTCACTGAAACCAGAAATGCTTACTGAATGTTTTTAAAAATTTATTTATTTATTTACTTATTTATTTATTTACTTATTTATTTATTTATTTACTTTTTAAGTATTAAAACAAATATGTTTATTTAAAATATAAATATAAAGAATCAAAATTAAAACTATTTTAAAAAACACCATAAATAAATAAACAAACAAATAAATAAATAATAAGTTGTTTAAACATTTTGTTTGAAGATGAATAATATTAAGATTTTAAAACATTTTCTTTGTTTTAGAAAAAAAAAATGAAATTTGACTAATTTTTTTCTTTGTAATTTATTGTCTTTTGGACTTAAGGACTGCTGATATACAGTACCTGGTATAAGCATTAAATTTTTTTTTTTAATCTTTTTTTACTTCACTTGTGTATTTTAATGTTGCTGAATTTGTTCCTGCATGGTATTGAAATGATATTGAATATCAATTCTTTTACAAGGTATTAGATCGAAGTTGCAAATTCCAGTATCGTGATACCACTACATTTGATATTCAAAATCTGCCATAGGTTACCAGTGAATTCCAGTTGGATTTAGGGATAGGGTAAGACAATATAACAAATGGTTTTTACAGCAAAAAATACATTAAGCCTATGGAGAGTCCTCATAAACATCCCAAACCAATGAGCATGCATGCATGTGTGTAAATAAAATCTTAAACCAGATCAATTCAAATTATTCAGATTATTTGCTGGTCTTATAGCTTTAGAGAGGTTTTGGTTGTTTGTCAGCATATAAAAACAGCCTGGCCAGGCTATGAGACCATCATAAACCATCTTAAACCAGCTTATGCTTGCTTACGCAATAACTGCAATTAATTAACATTATGCAGATGAATAATTAATTTTAAGGTCTCAATGAAAATTAAACTGTGAAAGTTGTGCAAATAACCAACTCCAGAAGTATGATTTTTCAAACCAAAACAAGCTTCGGATCAAACGTTTATCATTTAAAAATGAATAAGTAACACTTTACAATAAGATTGTATTAGTTAATGTTAGTTAATGCATTTACAAAGATGAACAAACAATAAACATTACATTTATTTCAGTATTTCTTCATGTTTGTTGACGAAAATACATTTGTTTATGGTTAGATCTTGTAAACTCAATGCATTAACTAATGATAACTAGCATGAATTTGGATGTTAATAGAGCATTAGTAAATGTTGAACTATTATTAATAAATGC